TTAATTTTGTTTAATATTTTAATTTTATTTTTATATTAGCACAATCAAAATATTAAAAAACTATTAATTTTATATTTTTTTCAAATTAATTACATTTTGAAAACATATTTAAACATAATTTTAACTATAAAAACCAAAGTTACCTAACCATGATTGATGAGATAAAGAATCCATGCTTAACTCACACTTTGCTTTGTGTGTTGTTACGAATATTAAAACTTGTTATTAGTGTTAAGATTTATTAGAGTGAAGAGGTTTAATTTTGCTCTTAGATTATTAATACGATCTAAGTAAAAATTTGTAACTAACAAGTGAGTTGTTGAAATTTTTACTAGATAAGAATGTTCAAGATAATAAATTAATTTATTTCATGTTTTAATGTAAGTGTGCATTGGTTGTGCTACATGAAATGTCCTAGAAATAAATATATATTTAATCCAAAATCTTCAATTCCTTGAATTGTTTCACTCAGGAAAGATAATTAAATTTGCAAGAGTGGGAACTTGTCATTAATTTAATAAGAAAATTATCAAAGCTTGGGAATTACATTTAGTATAAATATAAAGTTAGAGGATTAATTGTGAATTTTTTAACTACAAAAATTATTTTAATAAGTTTTTCCATAGACAATGTTGTCGATGATGTCCTATAAATCTAAGTAGCCTAGAAAACTTTTGAATTGGATAATCGATTAATTAATTGATCGTAATAATTTTATTCATTCTTTCTGCCCAATATCATTAATAGCATGGATTTGGTGTTTGGTAAGCTAAGATGACTAATGGCTAATACCTACAAAAAATATTTTTTTGTGAAGGTGGTAACTCTTTGATATTTAAATAAGTATTTTTTTAGAGAGAAAAAATATAATAATATTTCAGAGAGACATGTTTTAAAAATATATATATAATAGAAAATGAAAATTATAAACTTTTATTTTGGATATCTTATAATGTATTTATAACTTATTAATTTTGTTTTTTTATAGAGAAAAAAAGGCTAAAATATAACTCTATCTTTGTGATATTTTGAGTTGTATTGTGAATTATATTCCATGTATTTTTTTAGCTAAAAGATGGGGAAATGATAATCTATGATATATTTAAATCCACCCAATGCTAGGCTCGACACACTTTCAAGCCCACCTAAGGGTCACGTTTAGTTAGCATTAGTTTAGTTAGCATCAGGCCCAACATACTTCCACTTGGGCATGCACTTCCACTCAAGAGTTTAAAAAGATTTACACTATTATATTTTTATTGATTCATATTTATTGGTAAAGATATATAAAGAGATTTACACTATTATATTTTTATTGATTCGATATTTATTGGTAAAGATATATAAAAATATATTAATAAAATCTTGATTCATCAATTTGTTATTTATAAAGAACAATTAAAACACACACACCGAGCCTCCCACGGCCATGGAGTATAAGAATATGTACGGTGTGTTTTATTATGATAGTTTTTATAATTATAGCTTTTAAAAAAATAGTGATAGTTTTTATAACTACAATTTTTTTAAAAATAATTTTTAGTTGTGGTTAATTGAAGTAAAATATGTGTTTAATTAAAATCAAGTTTAAAATTATTGTTGAATAAAAAGTTGTTGAAAGATGACTAAAAGGATTTTTATTAATTTTTTAATTACATTATTGTGCATTGAATTATTAACATGTTATAAATACAATAATGCAGCATTAAAAAATTACTTTTATTATACCATTAAATTATCAGCCCTTTACTTTCACCCTGTGCATGTTTGTCTCTAGAGAACATCGAGTCATAATTTGAAGCTGAAATATAAGATGGAAAGAACGCTTGTAGATCTACGGAAACATTGCCTAATCAAACTTAACTCGAACTCACCCAAGGAGATGCTGGCTTCAAGAAAACATGAAGATTTGGCTATGAAAACTCTCCAAACTTTGCAGGGACGACTTGTATAGATTTGACGGAGTGTTTCTTGTAGGCAAAACCAGACCTTTGTGAAACAAATGCATGCTGGGGTGTCTCTCTTTTTGTGGTTCAAGAGCAACTGCAAAGGTTAAAATGATCAGGTATTTTTAACGATACAAAGATAAAATAAAAAAAATAAAAAATAGTAATGTGTTTCAAATTTTTGTGGTTCAAGAAAAGCATCCAAAAATAACTTTATATTTACGAGGATACACAAATTAAACCATAGTTTTATTGACTAATATTTTAAATGTCATGGGAAAATTATTATAGTTTTTCCCCACACCTTTCATTTTCTTTATGCTTATATATTATATTATTATAACATATATCAGTGCTCGAAAACTATGAGCTATTTGTTTTTATTCTTATTTTTTATTTTGTTTTCATTTGTATTTAATTGTTTTATTTTTATTTTATATGTTTTTATGGGGTTTTTTTGCTTTTCTTTTTATATTTTTTTTAATAAATTTTTTTGTTTAATTTTTTTATTTAATTGTCAGACTTTCATGACACGAATTCCAAGTTTAACATGTTAACCTGATTTAACAAGTTAACCTGGATTTTTTTTTTACTTTTTAATTTAGTTTGTTAATGTTAAATTTATTTCTATTTAATTATTAAATTTTCATGACACAAATATCAAGTCTGACGGATTAACCTGGTTTGAATTGTTAACCCAATTAAGTCTATAATTTCTTTTTAAGTCTTTTACCGTGGACTGCATCGTGCAGTCCACAGTGTAAAAACTAATATTTTTAGTTTTTTTTGTAGTTTTTTAATATTAAATTTTTTTGAGTAATTATTAGATTTTCATGATACGGATCTTGTATTTGATAGGTTAACCTGGTTTGGCGGACTAACCCAGTTGATTCAGATTTTTTTTCTTTTTTTTATTAGTTTTTTTTTCCTGTAGGTTTTTCCTCTTTACTTTTTTTCTTTTTAATTAATATTCTTTTAATTTATTTTATTAATATTATTTTTTTTTCTATTTAGTTATCACACTTTCATGACAAGAATCTCAGGTTTGACGGGTTAATCTGATTTGGTGGGTTAACCCAATTAATTCAATTTGTTTTCTTTTTTCTCATTAGTAAAAGGCTGATGCCTTTTATTTTTTTAATTAATTTTTTTTTATTTAATTTAGTTTGTTATTGTTCAATTTTTTTATTAAGTTATCAAACTTTTATGACACAGATCCCGGATTTGATGGGTTAGCCCAGTTAATTATGGGTTAACTCGTCAATTTTTTTTATATTTAGTTATCAAACTTTCACGATATGAATCTAAGCTTTGATGAGTTAACTTGATTTAAAAAGTTAACCCCGCTAATTTAGATTTTTTTAACCCCGCTAATTTAAATTTTTTTCATTAGTTTTTTGTGTTGGTTTTTTTTTATTTTTTTTAATTATTGTATTTTTATAATATGAACTTGTATTTAGACCTATATTCAAAGCTGTTGAGTTTGGTATTGAAGCCGGACTTATTTAAATTTAAATTATGTAATTTTAATATTTTTATAAATATTCTTTTTAGTCAAGTGTCACAATTAAACTTAGAATTTTTGGGTATAAATTAAAAAAAAATTAATATTTTTAAATATTAATATTTTCTGATATTTTTCATAAAAAAAAAAGGGATCAAAAGCTAACGCCACCTCAATCCTAAACGGCCACGTAACGGCATAAATTGTCAATGAACATAATTCACTTTGACTGCTATGCTTGTATTGTCGACTATAACGACGACATTAAAGAAATTGAAAATGGAAAAGAAAATTTAACAAAAGAAAAAAATCTTAAACACAAAAATTCGTTGCTTACACCTTAACCAGCTAAGCAGAGGACCAAAGATATGATGCGGACTTGAAGTCGACGAGGTTAATTGAACGAAGGTTTTCAAACACAACAAGTATAAAATATAATATAAGCATATGCATATGATTACGTGTTAATAAAAATAAATAAAATTTCCAAGTTCTAAGGTCATGTAATCATAGAGAACATGAGGAAAAAACTCAGATGTCTTTTTGAAAAGCTTATGATTTAATAATCTAATAAAAAAAGAACACGTCCACATTTTATATTTTATTATATTTTATATAAAGGTTTAAAATCAACCTAACCAGAAAAATCTAAAGTTAAATAAAAAAAGTAATTAAAATCTAAAATTAATTAAAATATTTAAAATAACAAAAACTTTGAGGGTCTAACAAAATTCAGTTGGTTATGGCAACTCAACTCTTTGTAGAGAGCGTGATTTGTAAATTTATTTAATAAAATTTAAATATTATCCGATAATCAAATCTAAAATTATAATTAAATCTAAAATTATAGTTATTTTTGTTAAGTTACGCGTTTAATGTGATCAATTTTTTTCATGCAATTGGTCAAATCTATCAGATTTATAAATATATTCGCAACAAGTTAAACATCGTATGCATATGCTTGCTTGGTATAAGGATGACTTGCGCAGTTCTGTTTCCACAACCGCAAAACGAGCGAAGAATGTCTTCCGAACATCAAGCTTGCTCAGTCCGAATCTTCCTTTCCTCCCCTCGGTGGCCACAAATTCTGATTTCTTGACGAATGAACGTTGATTTTGCAATCATCCTGTTTGGACTGTCACGCCCAATTCGAGCATCAAACCAATCGAAATAAGCACTGTCGAAGAAAAGGGCTTCAAATTATCAACTCGTGATTTAAGATCTCTGTCCCGAGAACTATATGCATGCTAAAACTTCGAACAGTAACAAAAAAATCCATACCAGCCCTTCCTTTCAGTCTAAAGCCCGACTCACTACAGCCCAGTCCAGGAAGACAATTCCTTCAAGCACCAGAATGAATTTCTATTGGGCAGACTGATAATGAAAGACAAACCTTATCCAATTACTGAAAGCCACGCAACCTGTTAAGAGTCGAACGACGTGTCAGCAGAAGCTCTCAAAATTGGTGCTTGCATCACGGTTGAATCGTATTTAAAAAAAAAAACTTTAACTTTAACTTTAAATTATTATTATTATTTTTACTTTTGAATCGTTTTAACTTATCCCATTAATATCTTTTCAACGGGCATTCCATCGACTCCAGCTCCAACACCAACAAGCAGATATCTATTTCGTCTTCCTTTCCTTAATATACTTTCAACCCTCCATTCTCGTCTACAGACCTTAATTTCTCTCCATATAACCGGCGGTTGTGGTCGTGGATCGATTAGATCAGTCGATCTAAAAAAGCGATGGCCGAGGACAAGTATAATCTGAAAAATCCAGCTGTGAAGAGGATTTTACAGGAAGTTAAAGAGATGCAATCGAACCCATCTGATGATTTCATGAGCCTCCCTCTTGAGGTATGTTCAATTTGAATATCAATGATTTATTAATTTCGGGTTTTTTAATCTTTATTATTTTGTTTTTTTATTATATAATAGGAGAATATATTTGAATGGCAATTTGCTATAAGAGGACCAGGAGAGACTGAATTTGAAGGAGGGATTTATCATGGGAGGATTCAGTTGCCTGCCGAGTATCCATTTAAGCCTCCTTCTTTTATGTTGCTGACGGTATTAACAATGGAAAATACCTTTTTAAAACCTTTCTTTTTAAAATTCTTTTTGGAAATTTTTATAGGGCTAATGGATTTTTTGAATTGTTTGTTATTGTTGTTGGATTTTTTTTTTTTTGGCAGCCAAATGGGCGTTTTGAAACGCAGACAAAGATATGCTTAAGCATATCAAATCATCATCCTGAGCATTGGCAGCCGTCATGGAGTGGTACGTTTTTAATAGTTATTGTTGGCTTTACCAAATTATTATGTGTATAGATAGCTACAGTATCAGGATGCAACAGTAACAATCTTATTAAATCTGTTATAGTGAATAGGTTTAGGCGAATTATCGTTAAAAGTATTAGTTAATTAAGGTGTGCGAGTGAGATTGATTTTGATATGCCGCCTGTGATGAGGCCATATTTAGGCTTGGGTTGAAGAAGAAAATGTTTGTTGGTGTCTATCTGTTTTACTTGAAGAACTAAGATTTCTTTGTGTTTGTTTACTTCATGTTAATGAAGACCTGGCCTGTGGTCATATTTGTTATGTTAACTAGGAAAAGGAATTAGACTTGGGGTACCGGAATGAAAATCATTCCGGGTGTAAATGTTATCTTTGAGGTTGCCTTTTCTTCACCTATGAAGGTCTAATTGCTCAACCACATGAGCATCTGATTGTTTTTAGAAGTTAGAATGTATCGATTCAATAGCTTGGCATACGGCTGATGTTTCATGATATTGATTACTCTGTTTGGCAGTAAGAACAGCTCTAGTAGCACTTATTGCATTCATGCCCACCAGCCCGAATGGTGCGTTGGGCTCGCTAGACTACAAGAAAGAGGAAAGGCGTGTTTTAGCTGTTAAATCTCGTGAAGCAGCCCCGAGATTTGGGACCCCTGAACGTCAAAAACTCATTGATGAGGTTAGTGATTGTTTCGTAGTGTATTGTCATTTGTTACATTATGTGCTAATGAACTGTTTGATGAACAGATTCATCAATACATGCTTAGCAAGGCGCCATCTGTTCCTCAACCAAACCCTGCACAGGGTTCTGAAGAACACCCTAACAACAGTGTGTGTGAAACCCAGGAAAGTCCCCAAGATGCTGGGGCTGCAACTGCTGCTGAAGACCTTCCAAATCCAGCTGTTGGTGAAATTCAGGAAGTGGGCGAGAGGGTCTTTGAAGAAGTGCTTGAAGCTCACATTACTGCGAACCCTAGTTCTGCTGGAACCAGTGCATCAAGAGAGGTTCCTGCTAAATGTTCAAGCGATCAGATACCGCAAAGGCAAGTGACTAGGGTTCAAAAACCAGCCGATGATAGGTTGTTCACATGGGCTGCTGTTGGACTCGCCATTGCAATTGTGGTTCTTTTGCTGAAGAAGTTTATGAAATCTAGTGGATATGGTGCCGTCTTCATGGATGGATCTTAGGTATAGTGATTTTTATGAAACAATTTATAGAAAAAGGGAATCTATGTCATTTTTACACCAGGATTGTTTGTATTCGCAGTATATGTTATGATCCGATTGACATGCACCATTATTGTAATTAATAATGTGGATGAGCAACTCATTTGCATTGACAAGTTTGGAAGTATTTTAGTATATCTATATTTGATTGTTGTAGATGCGTCCGTTTCTGGAGCGATTACTGGAATTGCTTTTGGAAGGTCATCTAACTGTTCGAGTGTGTCTTTTAATAATATTCATGCAGCATGATTTATTTTCATTTTTACTCGTTTGGACCTATTGTATTAACATTAATCCAGGTTAACAAACATTTCCAATTAACAGAAGCCACCCTCCTGTACGCATCATAGGTCCCTGATCAACATGGTTATCAGAATCACAATTTTCCTTTCGTGGCCAGCTTCAACCGTAGGAATGCCACGGATGGAACAAGTGCGCAAGCATGCATGCTTAAAGCAGATAAATCAAGGCTAGCCTGCAACCAACTGAGCCTTAACCATTCTCTGAGACGGCCATAATTAACCTCTCTGATGACACTCATCTCCCTCCCAGACCAAACAATGTAACTGGACAATCACACACATTTTTTTTTTTACTTTAACTGGACAATGATAGAGTTCTCTTTCAATGATTGGGTGCATTTATATTTGACAGAGAATTATATATGACAAAGGAATGCCATAGATCATATTTGACCATGCCGATCTCACATGGAAACTAATCATGCTGTCTTTGCCACGACACAAAGTTACAAAATACTGTCCTCGATATCATTCAGTGACCAGGAAAGAGCAGTCGTTATATCAGCAGGTAATTAAAGGTTGCATCTTTCCATGTATTGCCTTGTAACAATGGAGACTACACAGGGGAAGCTTTGACTTCGAGTCGCGATACTTGTATGCATTTGTACAGTTTGGACCCGCACATTTTTCACGTGGTGGAGGATAACTGCAAATCAAAACACCACATTGAAAATAACACAAAACAGATAAGAGTAATTATATTTAAATGTCGACAAAATGTAAGCTCTTGCATTTCTACAGAGCAAAACAAAATGCCAGTTTTCGGTCTACGTAGCATTCTAAAGAAAATACTTGGAGGGATGACAGGGTGAACTTGTACCTGCATGGCACTGAATTAAATATGCGTGGCAAACCAATGTCATCAGAGAAAATAACCGTAGTTCCAGTGGGGCCAATGACCCATCTGACAGTATTTGGCCCAATTGCATCAGCTTTGGCAGCCTTCGCCTGCACCAAGTAAAATTTATTCTTGATTCAAATGCTGCTAAAGACCTTGTGAAGGAGAAGGTAAAAGTTGCATGTCTATTTTCCAAGTACCTGAACCACTTCATCACGCTGTTTCCTCATCTTTTCTTCCTTCTTCTTTCTTCCAGAATCCTGGCCACGTATTTTTCTGATTGCTTCAGCCTAAAACATACAAAGTTAGACGGTTTTCCCATCCACTGCCAAGAGGTTATAGAACTAACATATGGTATGATTAGCAAACCTCAGCCTCCCTTGCTGCCTTCTCTGATTGCATTCTACGCCTTTGTGCAGCCTCAGCTTTCTTTAGTTGCTGCTCTACTTCAGAGAGCTTAGTCTTTTGTTCTGCCATTAATACACCAAAAAAGGAAATAAATTAGGTTTAGCAACAAGCCATTAGCACCCGAGGTGTAAACTAGTTTTATCTTCAATCATTCCCTTGCAAGCTGTAAATGAGACTGGTGCAAAGAACATGGAAACAGAAAAACACTCACTTTTAGGAGGGATTGAAGGTAAACCATTCGGGAACTCAAGAAGACTGGCACCAGGCACAAGAAAATCATCTTTGGCTGTCTGACGGGCCCGCTTATGTGCAGTTGTAGTTGATTCATTCCTTCCTCCAACATATCCCAGCCTCTTGCTTTGGTATCTAGGTTCATCCTCTGATGTAGGCTCTTCCTCTTGCACAAAGTCCTTATCATCTTGCCTACCATCTGAAACCATTGATACCCCCCTTCTTCTCTTCTTATAAGCATTGAGTCTTCCAAGGTAACGTACTTCCTCATCTATGTCACCATCTTCATCAAATTCCACATCCATTGCACAACTCTTAAGAACTCTATTACTCTTGCGAACTGCTTCAAAATGGGATGTTCCATTTACAAAGATACTTTCACCAGACATCTTTCTTCCCGAAGAATTGCCCTTTCTAAAACTAGAATCCTGAACATGTAACTTCTCTGGAGACCGAGAAGCATCAAAACCTTGATCAGATTTTGTGAGTGAAGACCCGCCATTGAAAGGATATTCTGTTGCTGGCTTGGCATGTATTGTATGAGTGACACCACCAAACTTGAGCTTAAGCTTCTTCAGTCTTTTCTCACTTCTCAATCCATCTGAACCAGATGCTACTTGTTCCTCATTATGTCCACAGTTCAAAAACTGTGTAGAGGATGACAGCAAAGTAGAAGTCTGTAGAAATTTCTGCAGATCAGAACAAGGCCGACGAGATATAATACTCCTCTTCTTCCTTATTGTGGACCCAAGACCAGCGGAATGAGTCCCATTTAAATTTTCCATATTAACTTAAAATTTGCAAACTGTTACTGTGGATTGCTTCCTATAAAAAGCAGAATGCGAGCAAGAAGATCACAGGGTTGCAATAGCAACAAGTCACCACACCTGAGGATTAAACGCATAGAAGCATTACTTAAATTCCAGCTGAGCAAAAACTAAACATTTAACCATGTGAAACGCTCGACTAGAACTTCGTTGAATACTAGAGAAAGGGAATAGTAAGATTCAAAATAGTGGCAAGCAAAGTGAATTGAGATAATTCATACACACCAAACAGAGACTTCTTTTAATGAACAACGGCCAAAAAAATAAAAAATAAAAAAGAACACAATATATCAAAGAATAAATCCAAACTCCAAAAATCTTAAAAAACATAGCCACGGTATGCTGGAACTAAACTAAAATATTTTCAAGGAATCGTCTCAACTCAAAAGGTTAAGCTGTTCCGTAAGGCCCAACATTATAAGCTATTAAAAACTTTTAGAGCATAATGAACGAAACCTAAGGGAAGTAACTCATCAAAGAAAATCCCTACAGACTAGGTACTTCAACTTCAAACATATTTAGCGGGAAAACAATAAACAAAGACAATCCTTGAAACCATTTTGCTTAGAACCTCGCATTTCCATTTCTGGTAAAGAAATAAGCATAAACATGAAACTAAGTCCAGGTTTTCTTCTCATTGTCCTTTATTTTCTCGCAACCAAACAGGGAAAAAGAAACAATCAAACAAGTAGATTCCCTCTTCTTCACAATGACATCTAAATTTCAATTAATTTTTTTTCACTTTTAATCTTAAGTCGAATGACCAAACCTAAAAACAACTCTCTTTTACATGGAAGAACTAATCTTTTTAGTTTCAGCTTTCTTTAGGAAGAAAAAAGATAGCTTCCTTCTTTTTACATCAAAATCGAACTTCAAAGCAAACCCATTTCAAAGCAGCAAAGAAAAAGATCAGATAGCAACAAGAAACCATCAAATGTAGTGGATACTTACCTAGCAAAGAAGCCAACTGAAACCCTAGAAAAGGAGGGCCCCAAAAAGACAAGTACTTTGGTGATTACGGGGAAAGCCTTTCGGAGAGGGGGGGTTATGTGAGTCTCCTTTTCCTTCTGGGAAAATGGAGATGTTTTGATCCAGTTAAAAATGAATGAGGGGTTAGTGCGAGACAGGGAGTTATGCCATTCTTAGGCTGGTTATAGTAAAGGATACTGGAACTGGAACTCTTTATCTGCTCCATTTTGTTTTCTCTTTTCTTGCTTCTCCACTACTTTTAAATTTCTTCATAAGCGTAAATTTTACAAGTAGGGAGTTTAATACACCAAGAGGCCCAGACAAAGCCCATATGATTTCATAAGACTATTACACTAGTCCAAGGAGAAGGTCCACCAGCAATCTTTTGTTTTTACTTTCGTTTAATGGTAAAAATATTTCCCTGGCTGTCTTTTAGGTACCTCAACCAAGTTGTGTGCTATGGATATTTATGGGTTCGAGTTTTATGCTATTTATAATTGTATTTAAATCTAAAATAATTATTTATTTATTTTAAAAACTTAATCGGTATAAATTTTTCATATTTAAACTCAATTTATAACTCAAACATGAATACTATAATTATAACTATTTAGTTCATAATTAATTTGATATACATATAATTTTTCAAAACTTCAAGATGAATTATATATTTATTTCAAGTCGGTTTTAAATTGAGTAAACTAGTTTTCATACTCAACCCGGACCCATAACTTTTTGCCTTTAAATTTTACTTGAACATGATCGAGTTTAAAAAATGTCTACGGCCTATTCGAGCCTGCTCGAATCAATTTACAATAGGTTCTAGTGAAATTTTCATCCTCAGCTATCAACTCATGTATACCAGACACACAACCATCTGCCTTACAATTCTAGATTCAGGCCGATATAAAAAACGGTAAATAATTACTGTAAAAGATTATTTGGTGTTCCAGTTATAATCACTTGAAACATTGTCATCCTTCATGGAGGCGGATGACAATGCTTCAAGTGATACGGGGACGACTTGATGACTTGAAAAAAGATGGTCGTATGGGTTTTTGAGTCGTCTTCTTCCTCCTCCTTTTCTTTCCTTCTAGATCTCTTCCCATTTAGTTCATGGAGTCTTTGGAAGGAAATGATGTGATCAGTGGAATTGTTTTTACGCGGAGAAGTCTGGGTCATGTACAGGTCAAGTGATAAATATAACGTGTTTGTTTGAGAGACCAAAATCATAAAATTGAAAGTTTATGGATCTAGTCGGGTTTGATCAAAAGTTTATGGGATCATTTAACCAATTAGCCATGAGAATACGACGGCATGCAGATGAGAATCGTAGGATTTTAAGGCATGAATAAAATGACGAGCAAGAAGGTATAATGAGTTTCTTTTAACTCTTTTTAAACCCCATGTACACAGAACGTAACGAGGCTGGGATGAAGCTCTACAGAAAAGTAAACTTATCCAAGGTTGAGACGGGCCAGAAAGTATGAAAATGTTCACTTTAAGCGATGAGAACAAACTTGAAGCGATCCTCTCTGGGTACTAGCGGCCGGAGATGTTAATCATCATTTTATTTATTCCGAGTATGATAATGTTCACTTTAAGCATTCCGAGAAAAATATTTCCTCATCAACCTCATTGCTGACATAGTGGATGGGCTACTGCACTGTCACGTATTGGGAAATTGCACTTCATTTATGTAGAGTTGTCAGCTTAGCCACAGTTGGACATATAATAATAACTAGAAACAGCAGATTTATTTGATACAACATAACTTAACGTGCCAAACAAATTCAAGAGCTTAAGCAAAAAGAAAGAAAAAATCCAAGCTCACACCACCCAAGCTGGCTCTGCGAAAGTACACGGGTTCAGTGTTCATGGTCCGAATGCTTGACAACCGTAATAGGGCAGGATCCATTATTCACTGCATTTTTGCTCAGACGACCCAAGATGGCTCTGCAAGAAACAGAAAAACAATTCCATGTCCGGATGAAGTCATGCGGTGTAGCCAAGGGGCCTCAATTATTGTACGGATGAACAACGTTTGTTGCTACAGGTGAACGCGCAATATATATCTCCATATCTTTCTATGCCACTCGCATTAGAGATCTCACGACAAGCCAGAGAAGAAAAAAAAAAAGCATCCACTGTCGTCTTTATTGGTTATTGGATTAGCCGTGATTTATTTCTAATAAATAGATCTAATTTAATTTATTAAAAAAATAATTAAAAAATAATTATTTTTTTAATTATATATAAAAAGACATAATCTATATAAAAAAATATTAGTTTTATTATTAAAAAAACATAGTTTTTTCTTTCTTTCATCTTAATTTTCTGTCTTGACTTGATAAAATTTATAAAAATATTTGTACTATAAAATATTATTTTAATTTTAGTAATTAAAATAATATGAAATAATTAATCTAAAAATAAAAAAAAATAAATTTTCATAAGTAAATTCTCCTTTCTGATTTACAGTCTATTTTGCCATCTTACCGACACATTCTCTCCTTATCTGCTTTTGTTATTTTATTTTTTCTTTTTTCTCTTCTAACCTCTTAAGTTCTATGATACTTTGAAGATCACGAAATAATAATTTAACTAAAAATGAGGCATCCATCTACCTATGGTACATACCAAAACCTGAAGCATTATTTGATGAGTTTTTTTTAAGACATACATATTTATTTAAAAAATATACTGAAATGCACTTCAAAATACAATATCAAATATTTATTAAGGTTTTATGTGATATTATAGTTTAATTTGTATTTTAAAAAATAATTTTTTTAATTTTGAATAATTTTTTTAGTGTTTTTGTATAATTTTGATGAATGTTAAAAATAAATTTAGAAAAAATAAAAAATATTATTTTAAAATAAAAAATATTTTAAAAAATAAATTTTATCATCGCGCTTATGATGCTTCCCAATTCATCACAAATATTAAAAACAAAAAAAACAAAACACACGTAGTTATAAAAAAAACCACTACCTTTTCACATGTCGGTGGCAAACGAATTTAGAGAGGCGGTGGACTAAAAAGCAGATGGTGGGTATTTTAGTCATTTTAAGTAGCAAAATATCCATTATGGTGGGTGCCCACCGGCCATGAACTAGGGTCTAGGGTCCTGTGCTAAGAGTAATTCCCTATTACTATGTTTTATAATAAACTCTACCTTTCACCCCTGGTCGGCAAATAAACAAATCAACTGGTAAAGTGCCTCCTTTACATTCAGGGGCAGCGCGTCGCAAATGCTGCGGGGGGAGCCACTGTTGAGGCTCTAATCCACCAGTCTTGAAGTTGATTTGATTATTGCCGTTTAAAATGATTTTTTTATAAATATATTAAAATAATATTTTTTTATTTTGTAAAATTTATTTTATACATTAATATATCATTTAAGAATTAAAAAATATTTTTAAAAAAATCATGTTTTTTCAAAAAGCACTTTACCATAAAAAAACAACAACAAACAGCTAGCCCTTTAACGTTATTATCACTGTATATTCCCGCATCAAAACTAAAATCCACTAAACCCATTTAACATGTCATTTAATTCTCTCATGGTTACGGGTTTTAATGATTTGTAATGAAGAAATAGGGAAGCTCAAGGCGTCCTAAAAACGCTGAAGAACAAAAGTAAGTGCAGAAAATAAGGTTCCAACATGGGAGAGACAAAGGGCCGAAATTGAAACAACAAAAGAACCAAACGTAACATGGGATTTCAACGATAACTTCACTTCATTTTCTTAGACAATAGATGCTAAGTCGTCCTGGTGCCTTTATGCTCCTCCACTTGGTCAAACAGCCCATCATAAGAAGATTCGTTCAAATTCACCTCCTCAAATAGCTTCTTAAACAGTCTGGCAACCTCTTTCTCAGTGGAATCATAGTTGGTTAGAATGTTTCTTTGTTGAAGTAACTTCACATCTTTGTCACTGCTAAATAGGTTTTTCATGAAAAAAACGTAGGAGGTTATGTTTTGCACAGTATCACTTGAAAAATGCTCCAGTACGTGCAATGAGATTCCTGAAGAGACTTTCTGTGTATTAATTAATGTATTATCACAGGTGGGATTACAAGGACTCCGCTGACAAACTCTGTCCAGTAAGTTCTCCGTTCTGGCCCCCTTGATCCTAATTAATTCCTGCAGCTTGGAGTTCTGTTGCGCAACGTAAATGTTTCTGATTTTACTGGTTAATTAATTAGTGGAGTGTATGGTTGCATGCCTTCCTGTTTAAATTTCTGCTGATGGATTCGTGGATCTCTTGGAATCATGTACTTGAACAAACGGAAGGCAAGCTCGGTGAGGAAATGAGTGCATTGTTTAGGAATTGAACCACTTCATATAGTCTTAGAAGAATGAACAATGGAATTTGGTTTTCTAATAACATCCTGTTGGATCTCAAATCGAAGAGCATTCCAGGAGTGGTGAATACAGGATCATTGCGGCGTCTTAAACTCAATGTAGAGTACTTGAGGAACATTTCAAAGCTGAAACAGCCATCGACTAACATCATTTGCAGGAATTCATCAGTTGCGAAGCTGCTCTCTTCTTCACAGCATGCATGCTCTATGTTCCACCTCCTTAAGGCCGTGAGACAATCATCGAGGGATGCTTCCAGGTTTGGCCTTCGGTTGAGGAGTGCATGAACGTAGCGCCACTTGTGCTGTTCCATGGCTTCCAATCCTCGCTTGCCATGGCGGTATGGACCAATTGAAACTTTGTCAGGGATGAATGCCTTCTCGTTTGCATTGCGAAGGCTTTCCTTGACCCTGCAGATGGTGCGAAGAAGAAATGGTTTGCATTTTGCTTCTGATCGAAGTTACAAGATTGTCGCCATGCCTGATGTCAATTGAAATATGGTCTTCGTTTGGCGTCTGCCATGCAGGTGAATTGGAAATTTCCATAATCAAATAAATGAACTCTAAGCAACCTGCATTAGCAGCACTGTGAAAATGCTGAACCAGTGCTGGATCGTCTACAACTAATGAGATTATCGGTCTCTTGACAAGTAACAGGAATTTTTGTTCTTCATGTAACATTGGCTAATCACATTAAGATACTCAAAAAGAGATCTGGATCTTAGAAACAATCCAGGTTTTCAAGTTTTGGCTTAGTTTTCTTCTAAAATAAAGTTCGCTTGTTTATTCCGGTAATGACTGAGCAAACACCCTAAGATCGCAAGGTCAGCTTCTTCTTCAAAGGAGTCGGGAGTTCTCTGACAAAGTACTCCACAGCAAGGTGCATGCCCTAATACATACATATGTATTTGTAAAAGAATCCAAGATGAGTTGGTGAACGAAAGGAATAGATTATTGGGTTTGCATTCCAAATTGAAAGGCATCCTGGAAACTGTTGCCGAAAGCGTATAGCTTTATTCAAAGTAAAGGTTAACCTGATTGCCTGGGAGCAAATTCAAGAATCTAGTAGCTGTACATTGCAGAAACCTGTCCAAAAGAAGCGAGAGTTACGTGGCCATAAAAAGAGGTCTCCTTGAATTACTACTCATTATTCAGGTACTAGAAATGAAAAACTGAACAGAATAAACTAAAGAGCTCAGAAGCACTCGCTTTAGTCCCAAGAGGATCAGGCGAAAGTTATAGACCCTGTCATCACGTTGAGTTCAAATTTCTTCACTGCTCAGAAGGGATGCACCAGCCGGGATTTGATCCCGGCTCTGTATCTGCTATATATGTACCACTAGACTACAGGTTCTTCTTAAGAGTTAAGATGTTGTATTTCATCCCTGAAAATTATTAAATATAGAAACCATTTCAGTAATCGATTAGCAATTATGCATTCAGCAAGACATCCATATTGTTTTTTATTTAAAACAATTAATTTAAAATAAAAAATAAAATTTTAAAAAACTTGGAATTAAAACATTATCCCAACAGACAAGCAGTTGGATCTAATAAATGTAAAAAACCCAACAGCTCCATACTCAATGCATGCAATTTGGATCTGATAATTTTCATATAATAGATAACCACATATTCAATGCATTCAATTTGCAAAATAAAATAAAATAAATTGAGTTTCCATAATTGAGTAGAATTGTTAAAAAAAAAAAAAAATTGAGTTTCCATAATTGAGTAGAATTGTTAAAAAAAAAAAAAGCATAACAAGAACTTAAATTTTGGAATTCATTTTTTACTTTGAACGCATCGCATGATTTTAATACCAGGAAATAGATCATTATGCAAATCCCACGCACCTTGCGAAGGAGAATTCTCCGCTGGTCGAAACTTGCAATTCAACACTATCAAGGTTTTGTTTGGATTATAATAGTTGCTGTTATTTAAGATGTTTTTAAAATTATTTTTTATTTTTTAAAATTATTTTTTATATTAGTATATTAAAATAATCTAAAAACATTAAAATAAAAAAATTTAAATAAAAATTAATTTTTTTTAAAATAATTTCAAATATAAAAGCAAATAATCTCCACTTATGTCTAAGAAAACAATTTATATATTATCATAAAAAAAATCATAGGTATTACATGTGTTGGGGAGCTACGTGGCATAAATAACACTGCAACAAAAAGAAGACTACCCCTACACTCCCTCTAAATTACAACTCCAGAAAGCAAGTAAAGGAATCCAAATTCCAAAGCTTTTGATGAAGTGAATGGAAGACTGTATTTTAGCGCTTTTTTTTTCCCCTTAAGTTTTTGTTTGGTTGGTTGTTTTAATTTCATTTTAATTTTGATTATAATTCCCCAATAACTGCGGCCATTCTCAAGAAAACCAAAAAACACTCTCTTATAGCACAGCAGCAGTTCTCGACAAAAAACAAAGCATTTTGGATTCAAAATTCGATTCTTCGTCAACTAGATCTATAGATAAAAAAAACCCTAGAAGAGAGACCTTCAACTTTTAGCAACAAGAAATGGCGTTTTGGTGGCCATTGATAGTTGCTGCATCCGCTTACGCGATCTGTCGTTTCTTGTTAATGCTCATTCCTTTCAATGTGCCTTCAATCGACGTCGATGCCTCTGACGGTTACTAATTTACGCTTGATTACGTATCATTGATTGTGTCTCTGTTTATGATAGTCAGTTTATTAATTATTATTATTTTTTATTTTTTTTTGCTGTCTGTCTGTTAAAATCTGCGGCAGTCACGGAGGGCAATCAAACGCAAGAGAACAGCTTCATCTATGTCAGTTTCTTTTTTCGTTTTGAATCTTTTATTTTATCTATCTTTTGCATTTATGTGGAAATCAAAATGGCTTTTTAATTAATTAATTATTCATTTATTTGTGCATGGAATCTAATGTATGGGCTGCGATATTTCAATCTTTACTAATGCTTGCAATGTTTATATTTCTTTTTTATTTTGAATAGTTTCATTTCTTCAATTGAATTTAATCTATTGAGTTTTGATCCAGATTCCTCCGAGAGGAAGGGCACAGCAGTCGGATAAAAAGGTTCAGTGTTATGAGCCTGCGACGATGAAATACTTGGGATATTTCCCTGCATTGTCGCTTGCTGAGGTTAGAGAAGATATACACATGCTTATTATACATGCATCTAGGTATGTATGATCTTGTGAAATTTGTGGCTAAAAATACTGTTGAAATGTATGGTTGCAGGTCCATGACCGAGTGGCACAGGCGAGGAAGGCTCAGAAAATATGGGCAGAAAGCAGCTTCAAGCAAAGACGACAGTTTCTGCGGATTCTTCTCAAGTACATTATTGAACATCAAGAGCTTATATGCGAGTAAGGATGGTGGAGTCACCATTTTTATGAAACCATTATTAATGATCTTAATCATTAGCAGTTTGACACCACAGTGACATTTATTGACATTAAAATACCAGACAAGCATTTAAATGTTGCTATGCTTAAGGTCCCAGGGGACCTTGGTTTGAAACAACCCATTTCTTAGTTATTTTCTTCACTGGGAGGCTGATTGGGTTGGGGATGCAAGGCGTTCTGTGTAAATGAATTCTCTGTTTTGCATCTCATTTAGTGCTGCTCTGTTAGTTAAGGATTGGTCATGTGCTATTTTGATCAGAGTATCTTCACGTGATACTGGAAAGACAATGGTAGATGCTTCTTTAGGAGAAATAATGACAACATGTGAGAAGATCACTTGGCTTCTTTCAGAGGGTGAGAAGTGGCTAAAGCCTGAATACCGGTACCTATTACCTTCTTTTTTTCTTTTCTTTTCTTTTGTTTTTTTATATACTTCTTATCATTTTTGAATTATTTTTTATAATCTCTCTTTATTGCATAAGAAGACATGATGAATCCTTAGGGATTTGTGTAAAAATTTATTTTCCGCACTGCATTTCTGATGATTTCTTATTTAAATGGTTGGCACATATTATTTGACAGAAACATGTGACTTACAAACTTGTCGTGGCTTGAATCCAAATTTTTACCAACTTTATTTGTAAACTGTCTCGATTACTGACATAGGTTACCTTAAGTACTACACACCTTTACCAACTTTATTTGTAAACTGTCTTGATTACTGACATTGGTTACCTTAAGTACTACACACCTTTGCCCTCTTAACCTTCTAATCTTTGTAGATGTTCTGGGAGAGCAATGTTTTACAAAAAATCTAGGGTTGAGTTTCACCCTCTTGGTGTTATTGGTGCCATAGTTTCATGGAACTATCCCTTCCATAATATCTTCAATCCAATGCTGGCGGCAGTCTTTTCAGGGAATAGCATTGTGATCAAGGTACTTCATGCTGCAATGACTAAGTTATTTGGATTTGCATTTAGTGCTTTTGTTACCTATTGATGCACCTCCATCTGTAATGTCATTTATCGCATTTCAGTATTGGGATGTCATTGTTGAATGCTCTATATCCATATTACTTGTTGTTACATGTGCCCATATATTTAACCTGAGAGGTTTTCTGGGCTTTTAGTAACCACTGAGCTGACAGAGAACTATATGCTTGCAATTGCAGGTTTCAGAAAATGCAAGCTGGTCTGGATTGTTCTATTTCAGAATAATTCAAGCAGCTCTTGCTGCTGTGGGAGCTCCTGAAAATCTGGTTGATGTAATCACAGGGTATTCATTTCTGTTTAGATGTTTGCACTAAAATATGTGTAATACTTTTATTTGCCAATGATCGAAGCTATCTCGATAGGTTTGCTGAAACAGGAGAAGCACTAGTGTCATCAGTTGATAAAATCATATTTGTTGGATCACCTGGTGTGGGTAAGATGGTATGATTTTCATGGCTAACAGAATGGATTTTCTTTGGTTTTCATTTACTTTTATTGTAGCACTTCACTTCATCATATGTGATCCATACTTGATGGAATATTGGCAGATGCAGTAAGCTCTTTTCCTTTCCCTTTTGTTTTGCTGATAATTTATTCCCAACAGCAGTTTAATTTAGTAGTTTTTGCACATTTTGTGCCTTTTTTAAATCATATTTCTGCACATGCCCTGCCATGTATTATTTGTTCTAGGTAAAAAGTGAAGTAAAGCCACAACTGTGCTGCATACGTATTTTTCATTGCTTATAGACTGAAAGGTTTACTTTATTGCAGATAATGAGAAATGCTTCTGACACACTTATACCGGTAACACTTGAGCTTGGTGGAAAAGATCCATTTATTGTGTGTGAAGATGCAGACGTCTCTCATGTACAAATCCTTTGTACCTGTTCTGATTTCTGATGCATAATATGCCTGAACAATTCCTTGGCAACAACTCAATGTTCCACTTAATGTAGGTTGCACAAATTGCTGTCAGGGCTGTTCTTCAATCAAGTGGGCAGAATTGTGCTGGGGCTGAGAGGTTCTATGTTCATAGGGACATCTATTCTTCATTTGTCAGTGAAGTAACTAAAATTGTTAAATCTGTTTCAGTTGTAAGTATGTCTGTTCTGACTTGCTTTATTCATAGGTATCTGTTTTCATGATATTTGCAATTTTCTCCCTAGAATTTACCCACTGATCATTTGACTTCTGTATCCATAAAGAAAACAAACACTATATTCTTGTGTTCGATCATGTATATCTTCTTGTATCTTTGTATTTGTTGTAATTTTATTAGCAAGA